CCACAAATAATGGTGAACATTAAACTTGTTGACAACCGTTTATAGTTGATGTAACTATTACTGTATCTCTCAGTCTTAAATTTACAGATTTATTTTCTAATTGGATATACCAAAATAATTGAACTATTTTATTTTCAAATTGTACCTTTTTCAAATTAAGATTTTATATCTTAAATGTCACCTTTGTCAGTATTCCTGCAAGAAAAGGGACATTTTTAAATTTTCAAACATTAATATTGTTTTGACACTTTTTTTTTTTGAGACAGAGTTTTGCTCTTGTCGCACATGCTGGAGTGCAGTGGTGCTGTCTCGGGTCACTGCAACTTGCGCCTCCTGGGTGCAAGCAATTCTCCTGCCTTAGCCTCCAGAGTAGCTGGGGTTACAGGCATGCACCACCACACCCTGCTAATGTTTGTATTTTTAGTAAAGACGGGGTTTCACCATGTTGGCCAGGCTGGTCTCGAACTTCTGACCCCAAGTGATCCACCCGCCTTGGCCTCCCAAAGTACTGGGATTACAGATTACAGACATGACCCACTGCGCCCGGCCCAACTCTTTTTTTTTTTTTTTTTTTTTTTTAGACAGACTCTCATTCTTTAGCCCAGGCTGGAGTACAGTGGCATGATCTTAGCTTACTACAGCCTCTGCCTCCCAGGTACCAGTTCAAGCAATTCTCCTGCCTTAGCCTCCAAAGTAACTGGGATTATAGGCATGTGCCACCATGCCCAGATAATTTTTGTATTTTTAATAGAGATGGGGCTTCTCCATGTTGGGCAAGCAGGTCTTGAACTCCTGACCTCATGATCCTCCCACCTTGGCCTCCCAAAGTGTTGGGATTACAGGCATGAGCCACCACGCCCAGCCGACACTTTTTTAAAATGTACAAGTCTCTTATTTATCTGAGTTTAATCCGAGATCACAAGAGAGGAGAATCACTAAGTAAAACCACAGAATAACTTCATTAATGGCTACATCTACAAGGAGAAGGGAAGAAGAAATGGTTACATTGTGAAAAACATTAATTTCATTTGACTTTGAGCTATTAGAAATCCAGATTTTTTTCATTTGAGTACCCCATTTTAAAAAAAGAAATAAAAAGGCCGGCACAGTGGCACATGCCTGTAATCCCAGCTACTCGGGGGGCTGAGGCAGGAGACTCGCTTGAACCCAGGAGGTGGAGATTGCATTGACCCGAGATCATGCCATCACACTCCAGCCTGGGCAACAAGAGCAAAACTCCATCTCAAAAAAGGAAAAGCTTGCAAAATATGCTAGAATACATCCAATAAAGGAAAATCAAGGTAAAAGATCAGAGAAAATCAGTGTCTATTCTATGAATGGCTGAAAGTTATGGAAGGACATATTTTCAACTCAGCTTAAGTCCAAACTTTCTAATAATTAGATGTAGCAGTGTAATGGGCTGCATTTTTAGTAAGCTCCTTATGTGAGTTTCTGAGCATATGCTGGATGACTTATCTAGAATAATGTAGAAGAGAATTAAACATTGAATGAGAGGTTAAATTAGTTAATTGCTGGGTTCCCTTCCATTTGTAGAATTCTTTGACTTTTATATTGAATTGAAAGAACTGGTATAGTTGTTTTCATTTCAGCAAATTATAGCACCATTGTAATTAAGGCATGGAAAATGTGCTTGTCATCTCTGAGATACTAAACCCTTTTCCCTCATGGCATTTTTTTTTTTTAGCTAGCCTCTAAGCTTGGAAAGCAGTGGACCCCATTAATAATTCTGGCCAACTCTCGTAGTGGAACTAACATGGGAGAAGGACTGTTGGGAGAATTTAGGATCTTGTTGAATCCAGTCCAGGTAACTAAAGAAGAAAACTTCCTTTTTTTTATTAATGTTTTCATTTTCCCTAAAATGCAATGGTTATTAATGCTTTAAGTCACTAATCACCTGATCATAGGAAAGAATAATAATTACAAAAAGATCAGCTATTAAATATGTAGAGAAACAGGAATTCCTGTGGTGGGAATATAAAATGGTACAACCTCTTTGGGAGACATCTTGGCAGTTTATTAAAAAGTTAAACATAGAAAGCCGGGCGCGGTGGCTCAAGCCTGTAATCCCAGCACTTTGGGAGGCCGAGGCGGGTGGATCACGAGGTCAAGAGATCGAGACCATCCTGGTCAACATGGTGAAACCCCGTCTCTACTAAAACTACAAAAAAAAATTAGCTGGGCATGGTGGCGCGTGCCTGTAATCCCAGCTACTCAGGAGGCTGAGGCAGGAGAATTGCCTGAACCCAGTG